AGTTTTTCAGACACACACACACACACACACACACACACAACCACACACACAACCACACACACACACGACAAAGGAGTTAAAACACAGCATTTAGATAAATAAAACCAAATCATATAAAATCGTAAGTGCCAGTAACATAGATGTCAAAGTGCTAAAAAAATGTTGGCGGTGTGCTCTCAGCATCCGGACGGTCAGCCGTCACCACAGTCTGGGCTCCTGACAGGCTGTTGGATATTAAATGAAGTTAAATTGGCGCTGATGTTAAAGTTGAGGCCAGGACTGTAACCAGGGGTCACTTCCTGCCGGAGCGCACAGGAGCGGAGCTCCAGCAGTAGAGAGCCCCGGGGGCGGGCACATGCAACAAGCCCCACCCCCTGCTCCCAGCAGCCCACAGTCAGAGCAAGAAGCAGCCAGGTAAGCTGCAGAGCTCCCTCTGGTCCTCCGGCCCAAAACAGTCCAGTGGCACCATTAAGACCAAGTTTTATTCAGGTACAAGCTCTCCCTCCTCTGCGAGGACAGATCTGCACGCCCCCCCCCCAATAGCTAGCAGTCCAAAAGAGTCCAGTGGAGCCTGAGCGGTGGGTGTTGCCTTCTGACACACTTCCGGTGAGGTCAGGGGGTGTGGCATACGCAAATAAGTTATGCTAATGAGCTCCTGCACCTCTCTTTTTACAAAATGACCCCTGGTCGTAACATTAGGGCAGCACCCTCATCGAAAGAAGCCCCCAGAAAGACCTGCAACGCCGGCGACTGATGCCGAGAGCCACCTCTGACCCCCCACCCCAGCAGCCTTTCCTGACGGGCGGTGGGGCTCACCTTTCCTGGAGGTCGTGGAGACTCTGCTCGGCGCGGTGGAGCCCTTCCAGGTCCTTCATCATCTTCTTCATGTGCTCCTTGGAGTAGCGGTTCTGGATGTAGGCGAACCAGCAGCCCCCCACGCCGATCACAATGGATACCACCAGCATGAAGTCTTTCAAGTGGTTGTGACGGGTCACTGGGGGAACAGGAAGCCACAGTGAGGGGGGGGGGACGTTGAAGGGAGGAAGCCCAGCTCCCTGCCATTGAGCTTTGATGCAGAGACACACAGCGGCATTGCCAGGGGTCATTTCCTGTGGGAGCGCACAGGAGCACAGCTCCGGCAGTGAGGAGCCCAGTGGGCGGGCACATGCAGCAAGCCCCGCCCCCTGCTCCCAGCAGCCCTCAGTCGAGCCACGAGGAGCAAGAAGCAGCCAGGTAAGTTGCAGAGCCCCCCCCCACCTTCAGGTACAAGCTCTCCCTCCTCTGTGAGGGCAGATCGGTGCGTTCTCCCCTGCCCCAAAGCTAGCAATCCAAAACAGTCCAGTGGCACCTTTAAGACCAAGTTTTATTCAGGTACAAGCTCTCCCTCCTCTGTGAGGACAGATCTGTGCGTCCCCCCCCCCCAATAGCTAGCAATCCAAAACAGTCCAGTGGAGCCTGAGCGGTGGGTGTTGCCTTCTGACACACTTCCAGTGACGTCAGGGGGTGTGACATATGCAAATGAGTTATGCAAATGAGTTATGCAAATGAGCTCCTCCACCTCTTTTTCTACGAAATGACCCCCGGGCATCGCTTTCCAGACAGAGCCAGCGACAAGGGAGGGGCCAGTCATGCCTCTCGCGAGACCACCTTCGAGTGGCGAAGGAGCAGGCACGCCTCCTCCTCCCGGACTCTCCGGCCCGCTGGCCAAGACCTGCCTCTCGCTTCCGGCCCTCTGTGCCCCTGCCTTCCGAGGGGAGCTGGGCAGCAACTGGAGATGGGACCTGTTATGCGGTGGCACCTAGCCTTCGGAGTGCCCGCCCCCTCGAGGCTCACCTGGTACCTGTTGCATTTCTTTTTAGATGCCAGGCGGAATCCCTCCCCCAGGCATTTATTAAGAAGCATAGAATCACAGAGTTGGAAGGGACTGCCTCTGAATTGTTTTTTGCCCTGACCTGGCTTGCCCAAACTCACCGGATCTCGGAAGGAAAGCCGAGTCGGCCCTGGTGAGCACTCGGACGGGAGACCCCCCAAGGAAGTCCAGGGCTCCAATGCAGAGATGGGCAACCGCAAACCACCTCTGCTCGCCTCTCGCCTTGAAAACCCTACAGGTATACCCACAGTATAAAATCTGCCTGGCAAGGAGGAGGTTAGAGTCTCCAGAAGCTATCAGGATAAGCAATACTGAAGTGTCCCCTGTGACTGAAGGCAAGAATTTAAGCGTTTAGAAGTCCCGGAAAAAGGAAACTTGACTTTTTTTTAGATTGGCCAGTTCTTGTTACAGCAATACGGAGCTACAGGGAAAGAAGATAAGAAGAAACAACAGTGGAAGAGAAAAATGGGACTGTATTATACCTTTTGAGGGAGATTTGTTTTCCCTTGTTAAAAAAAAAGAAAAAGAAAAAAATATATTAGTAATCGGGGAGCTAAAATTGTAAATTGAGATGCCATTGTCTTCTGAAGTTTGCTTTTAACGTAATTAATTATTTATCGGGATTAATCTTCACTTAGTCAGTTTCGGTCGTTTTGTCAATAGATGCGATGATGAAGAATGATCACTCTCACTGTCCAAAAGTAATTGTTAAAAGCTATTATCTTGATGTTAAGCGATGTATGCCCTCCATCTCTTGGGTTTTTAGGGGTTCTGTTTCTTTATCCTGTAGTTTGTAGTAACTCCCCACCATGTTTCTTTGTAGTTTTTAGAAAATGCAATAAAAAAAAAAAATCCCCTTCGGGGGGCAAAAGAAAGAAAGAAAGAAAATGTAGTGTATTCAAAAAAGGGTTATGGAATCGGCTCATTTATTTATTTATTTATAAATTCAATTTATAGCCCGCCCTCCCCGCAACGCGGGCTCAGGGCGGCTCACAATCAGGCATAAGCCAGCGCATAAAACACATTTAAAACCATTTAAAAACCATTTCTACAATATTACAATTGACTCTCCATGTTAAGCTTCGAGCCAGAAGAAGCTCCTCCGAGCTAACATCCTATTGGCTGCTCCACAACTGTGACCTATCAGAACTATGCCTAGTCCCTGCGAGGGAAGAACTCTCATTGGTTGTTATCCGCACAACCTCATTGGCTGTTTGTTGTAAATAGGCGTGGCTACAGTAGCCCGGGAGTGTTTAAAAGGAACCTAGCTCCTGTTTGTGTTCTGTCCTGGTTATGACCTATTTAAGCGCTCGTTCGTACCTACAATAAAGCTAATCTTATTGCTGAAATCACTCTCCTACAATTTGTTAGCGGTGATCTAACAGAAAACCCTACAGGGCTGCCATAAGTCGGCTGCAATTCGATCACACTTTTCACACACACGCCTGCTTTCTCGACTTCAAGGGCCCTGGAGGCCGCCCACAACAGCAAACGATGAAACGATTCATAATTAAAAAAAAAATAAAAATGGGGGAAACACTGGCATCAGACCAACTCACAGCTAAGTCACAATCCAGAGCAAGACAACCGGAGGAAACAGACCAAGACCCAAAAAAAAAAAAAGTGCCCCAGCGGGAGGAAACACGCCCACACCCTGAGCCAGAAGCCTGGGGAGACAGAAGTGTTTTTACCAGACTTCCGCCTCGCCCGTCTGCATCCCGCCCCCTCCGAGGAGGAGGAGGAGCTCAGGGCCGCACTGGTGGTGCTCCTTTCCTCGTTTTCTCCTCACAACAACCCAGGGAGGCAGGCTGAGCTGGGCCAGCGACAACGGAGAGGAGAGTGGGGATCTGAATCCAGGCCTCGCGAGTCCCAGTCCGACCCTCTGACCTGCTCTGCGCAGGCTCTTAGCCTCGACGGGTCATTTCCCCACCCCCCCAAAGGCCCTACAGACACAAACCTCCCTCCCCCGGCGAGGCACAGTCAGCAGGGCCTTTTGAGACCACAGTTTGGTGTCGTGGTTAAGCGCGCGGGCTCTAATCTGGGAGAACTGGGTTTGATTCCCCCGCTCCTCCACTCGCAGCTGCTGGTGTGGCCTTGGGTCAGTCCCAAGTTCTCTCGGAGCTGTTCTCTCAAGGGCAGTTCTCGAAAGAGCTCTCTCAGCCCCACCCGCCTCACAGGGTGTCTGTTGTGGGGAGGGGGAAGGGAAAGGAGGTTGTAAGCCGCTCTCCTTTGGGTAGTGAAGGGCGGGGTATAAATCCAATCTCCTCCTCCTCCTCCTCCTCCTCCTCCTCCTCCTTCTAGTGTTGGAAGGGAGCCACAGAGGCCATTCAGTCCAACCCCCCTGCTCGATGCCGAATCAGCCTAGGGCATCCCTGATAAGGGTTTCTCAGGGAAAGGCAGGCTATAAGCGGAATATAATACATAATGAATAATAACTAATTTAATCAATTAATTAATTGAATGCTAGGCCAGTTTGCCCACTCGAGTTGCCAGGTCCGACTTGGGGAAATATCTGGAGACTTTGGGGGTGGAGCCCGGAGCAAGGGCGTGACATCACTTCCAGGTCCACCTCCCCCATCCAGACGGTTCCTGTGATTCCATGGTAGGAGCCTGTGCTTCTAACACGGGGGCTGCTCTCAGCTCATTCTCCACCCAAGCCGCACACTCTGGAGACCATTTAGGGTTCCCAGGGAAGGCTGACAAGGCTGGTGGGGGATTTTCTAGGAGCCTCCGGGAGAGGGGAGGCAGGGCCGGCTCACCCACTAGGCGAACTAGGCATTCACCTAGAGTGCTGGGCCCTGCATGGGGTGCTGAGCTGTGCCTCCCCCCCACCGCCAAAAGCCCGCAAGCAGCTCTCCCAGTGTCAGCACTTCGCTAATTGGGGAGAGGCATCCGGTGAGCATCCCCCGCCTGGAGACAGGATCCCCTCCCCACCTCCCTCCCAAACTGCCTTCAGAAGCAGAGCACGAGAGAGCATGGGGGCTGCTCTCAGGTCATTCTCCACCCAAGCCACACACCCTGGAGACCATTTAGAGTTCCCAGGGAAGGCTGCCAAGGCTGGTGGGGGATTTTCTAGGAGCCTCCGGGAGAGGGGAGGGAAGGAGCACGACTGAACTCCAAAGGGCGTTCTGGCCTTCACATTTAAAGGGACCGTGTTCCTTTTAAATGCCTTCCCTCCATTAGAAATAATGGAGGATGGGGGGCACCTTCTTCCAGGGCTTATAGAATTGGACCCCCTGGTCCAATCTCTTTGAACCTTGGGTGGGTTGTTTGAGGAGAGGCACCAGATGTGATGCTGAAACTTTGGTGCCTCTGCCTCAAAAAACAGCCCCCCCCCAGCCCCACATCCCCAATTCTCCATTATACCCTACGGGGACTAGTCCCCATAGGATATAATGGAGCGCCCAACTGACATTTCCCCCTGTCATGATCTGGGCTGTGCCACCAGAGGCCTACTAGGCCCAGGGAGCCTGGTTAGCAGTAGGTGAGGCTGGGCCTACAACTCCCAGAAGCCCCTGAGAGGTTTTGGAGCCAAAATGGACCAATAGGGAAGAAGAGGGCTGGGGAACAAAAGGGCTGGTGCCAGAGCAGAAACGGTTCTTTTCTTCCAGAGGGCAGAGCCAGAAGGAAGGCTGCTGCAGGGGAGAGACCCTCATCCTGTGGGCAAGGTGAGTAGTCTCGTGCCAAATGATATAGTGGACTAGGGACAGTATATATTTAGACGCGTTAGGGCATTTGATTTCTTTTCTTTTCACCCACTTACTGTTATTATTCTGCACCTTGGTTGTTTGACCTCTTATCCAATAAACCTTTTCCTTGTTTCACTCTGCCTGGTCCTCACGCCCGTTATTCGGCCAAAAGGGAGGTCTGAAGGTCTTGGGAGGGTGCGCTGGGCCTTCTCAAGGGCCCTCCTAAATCCAGAGTGGTGGCAGCGTCTGGTGACACCCCCACCTGAGCCGTGACACCCCCCTCCCCCACTGCTTTCTGACAGCCCTGAAGTGGGGGGAGGGCCTCCAAACCAGGGGGTCCCCTGCTCCCAGCTGGGGATTGGGAACCCTACTACCCACGTCGTTGGTGCCGTGGTACCTCCTGCCCTCTTGGCAGAGTAAGGAGGCAGGGCTCTG